TCAAATTTTAAGAATATATATATATATATATATATATATATATATATATATATATATTTATATATGTATATAATTTCTCAAAATTAATATGATTTTATTCGTATACAAAATTATGTTATCAACTATACATTTTTTCGAAAAAAAAGTTAACTAACAAATCACCTGGCATATAATAATTATAGTAAAATTCAACAATTTTATGTCATTTCAGTCTTTAATTAAAGGTGACTATGATATTGAACGCTAATTGAATTCGAAGCAAAACGTGGCTGAACAGGTGCAAATAAAGTGACCATTTTATTTAGTAAATTAAAACGGCAGCCGCTCCTAGTTAATATCGTTTTAAAAGAACCACAAAGTAAAACAAAAACATAAAACTTGGATAAAAATATCATGAACATAACAACTCTAGGTGGTTGGTAGTTGGTTAACGTTTTTCATGCCTGCCTAGTGGCAACTATCAATCGTGTTCTCCAGAACCAGAAGTTACGGAAATTTATGCGACCATACTAAAAAAAAAATGACAATAATGAAACTAGTTCATTCATATATACTATTATAATTAGAAGGTATAACTTCCGGCCCAACTCATATTAGAATTAAAGTGGCACGATTTTGTGTTCATTCAAACTATTATAATTTAAGTGTTATTTATTTATTTTTTTTTATATTTAGAAAACTCATATACGCTACTCACTTAACTGAGTTAGATCTTCTTAATTCACGGGTATGCATTTTTGAAGCTTAAATCACATATGATAAAAAAAATACAAAAACTAATTTTAGTTGCTTTGATTTTGATGCGGTGAACGCGAAACTGAATGCATATATAGTAAAAAAAAATTACAGAGAAAGAGAGAAATGAGTACCAGGAGTGAAGAAAAGGAAGCAAAGGCTATAGTCCGAAAGCGACCAATATATGCATCAGAAATGAAGGCGCCAATCAAAGGGAAAAAGTTGGTAATACCACTCCATATGTTGAGAATGTTTGAAGCATAAACTTGATCCAAATGAAACTCTCTTGTCAAATACACCATGAAGTTAGCAAACAAACCAAATGCTGCAAACCTCTCAAACGTTTCATTCCCTGTAAGTAATAATTAAGTAACATCAACTCCAAACAAGTTAGCCACAAAAACAATGATGACATGATTATAGAAGAAAACTATAAACATAGAACAAGACCTAAAATAAAAGGCATAGCCTTCCATCCTCCTGGTTTCTTGGCTGATCCTGAACTGTTTTTGCTAAGTTCATCACTGTTTTTTTCTTTTTCTGTTGTTGAACTTGAAGTTGAAGAAAAGCCACTTCTACAGCATAGAAGTGACCCAAAAGAGAGAGAAACAGTTTTTCCCTTATCTTCTGCACCCGACATTTTCCCAAAATATTTCTCAGATGTTTGTGTTCCTATAGCTACCTCTCTTTATGGTTCCATACATTAGACTGTTAGGCATTCCTG